ACTGTAGCACTTTTTACAATAGCCAAGATATGGAAGCAACCTAAGTGTCCATCAGTAGATGAATGGATAAAGAAGATGTGGTACATATACATGATGGAATACTATTTAGCCATAGGAAAGAAACAAATCCTACCATTTGCAACAACATGGATGGAGCTGGAGGGTATTATGCTCAGTGAAATAAGCCAGGCGGAGAAAGACAAGTGCCAAATGATTTCCCTCAATTGTGGAGTATAACAATGAAGCAAAACTGAAGGAACAAAATAGCAGCAGACTCAGAGACTCCAAGAAGGAACTAGTGGTTACCAAAGCAGAGGGGTGTGGGAGGGCAGGTGGGGAGGGAGGTAGAAGGGGATTGAGGGGTATTATGTTTAGTACACATGGTGTGGGGGATCACGGGGAGAACAGTGTAGCACAGAGAAGACACATAGTGGATCTGTGGCATCTTGCTGCACGGATGGACAATGACTGCATTGGGGTATGGGTGGGGACATGATAATATGGGTAAATGTAGTAACTATATTGTTTTTTCATGTGAAACCTTCACAAGAGTTTATATCAATAATACCTTAATAAAAAATTAAAAAAAAAAGTATCCTATCCTGCATCTGTTCAAACCCCTATGATGGCTGTCCATTTCTGCTTAGCAAAGAAGCCAAAGCCTTTGCAATAAACTACAAGGCCTAAAATGTCCTTCCTCCTCCTCCATTACCACTCTGAGCTAATCTACCATACTGCCTTTCACTCTAGCTTCTCTAGCCACACAAAGCAATTCAATCTTCTAGGCACACTCCCACCTCATGGTCTTTACACTAGCCATTCCCTCTCCCTCCAGATATTACCTGGCTTTTATTCTCACCTCCTTTCAGTTATTGCTCAAATACCCTTTGTCAGTAAGGCCTTCCCTGCTTATCCCATTTAAACTCGCAAGTGCATGCACTGCTATCCCCACTGTGTCACTCTTGAGCTTCTTACTGGCTGTCATTTTTCCAGAGAACTTATCATCAGTCCTGTTATATACTTGTTTGTCTCCCTAACTAAAATATAAACTCCACAATGGTAGGGACTTTTACCTGTTTTCTTAAGTAAAGTATTCCTAGTGCCCAGAACAGTGCCAGGCGCTCAATAAATATTAGTTGAATTAATGGACAGCATTAATTCCTTATGTTGTATTTATTTATAAGCAAACCACCTTCGGATGTTAGACTAAAGCTCCTGGAAAATAGAAAACGTGTATTATTCTGGACCCTTAATAAATGTTGATTGATTAACGGTCTGCGTGAAAGCAAGGAGGTGAAATGAGCTGGCTGTGTTTTGATTACAAATGTATCAGTGGGTGTATAGAACCACCCATGATGTAAGTGTCAAAATAGATGAGAGTGAAATAGCTGCAGGATGAGATATGTTACTGCCAAAAACTAAAGAAAAAGAGAGATAAGAAAAAGAGCTCAGTTGTATAAAATGAATCCTACATAATGAGGAATAAGGAGAACTTGAAAGTTGTCACTTTTTTACCCCCAAATAATAAATAAATTCAATAGGAATCCTCAATGGAGATCTACTCTCTGATACCTCTAACCTGTGGGACTGTGGACTCCAGGTTGTAGTGTTTATTCAGGAACTTGAGCAGCTTTGGTGAGGGTCGGTCAATAGCCAGTTGGTGTGGTTCAACTCGCTCCTTCTGCAGGGAACAGTAGAGTCAGGGTAGGAGGAGGTGTGGGGAGAGCATGTCAACAAGAACCAGGAGCCAGGGAAGGGAAGTGAAGGATGTGAAGGGAAAATGGGGGGCAGAGGGCAGGAGGCAGGGCTTCTGGAAGGGATCAGGGCAAGAGGGCCTTTGACCTCCATTTTAGATAGACTGTTGAAAGGATAATCGATACCTGCAACATATACTGGAAGAGTTCTTGCCCATGGCCGTGGCGTTGAAGTGACTCATGGATGTAGAAGTCCAAGATGCAAAGTGGTTCTACCTCATTGTGAGCCTCACGATCATCCTAAGAGGTAAAGAACAACAAATACCTTTTAGGACCCAGACATCGTCGCCACCTCCCAACCTCCCGCACTTTTGTTCTCAGGAGCCAAGGCTTATGAGCTCTCACCTTCCAATAACACTCACCAGTACAAAGAGTTTCTTGTATCCAACTTTGAGGAAGCCAATAATGGCTCCTTTTCCAGCCCTGCAGGATGAGGAGAATAATGAACAAGGTAGGAACAGTTATCTGGGACAAGTATACCCCAACAAAAGAGAGGGACATTGGGAGAAGGAATTAAGCACGGCATGATAGAGCATCTGGCACTCACGGTCGTACTGAAGTGTCTTTAAGCACATACATAACGTGGCGGTTACTCTGCATCCTTGATGCACTGGTGATGGGAGCTGAAAGATGTTGGGCCTGTTGGGAAGATGAAGACACTTTCTGCAGGTACATTTCAAAGTACCCAGGGCTCCCTTGTCTGCTGTGCCCAGAGAGGCCTCCCCTTTAGTCTAAGACTCCCCAGTACCTTGGCAGAAGCCTTGCCCAGTTCATCTACAATGGTCATAATTTGCTGCTGCAGATCAACACTATAGAAAGAAAAGAAAGAGTCAAATACTGAATTAGAGGGTCCTGGGCACTCAATCCCTGGGAACATGGGCCATAACCCTCAGCCAGGTTCGGCACTTAACATCCTCTGATTTTACCCTGGAGTCTTCCAATCTGATTTCCCACTCACCCCTTTGGAACCCAAACTTTTGCCACACTTTCTTTCACTGTGGTACACTCCCTCCTCCCTTAAGGTTATTCAGGGGAAGCAGAAAGGCAGGTCATCCATATCCTTTAGCTGGAACCACAAATTGGGCCAAGGTGTGAAAGGTCACAGATCCAAGCGCCAATCAACCCTGCTCAGTCCGGGGTCAAAGGCCATCACAAGACAAGCCAGGACACCAAAAGTGAACGGTCCCTAGTCAGTGAAAAGGGGGCGTGGTGCCTGGGCCAGGTTTTGAGAGGAACCGGGAGAAGGGCCTTGGGGCGGGTTTGAGATCACCGGGCAGTAGTTGTGGTTCCGGGTCGGCGGCCTGGGGGTCGCAGATGCTGGTCCAGCACCGTGATCCGCTCCGGGAGCAGGACATCCACATTGAACGGGAACTCCATGGCCCATTGTACACGGCTGGATCCGCCCCACACGACGTCACTTCCGCCCATCCCTCACCGCCCCACCCTTCGGTCTTCATTTCCCCGCTGTGTCTAAAGGGACCCAAGACCCACCCCACCCCCACGCCCATCCTGGCAGCCAGCCCCGGAGACCCCGTTCGTCTCGCAAGACCATAGGTCCCTTAGCAACACGACACTGCCCCGCCCCTGCCTGCACAGCAGCGGGTGACTAAGCAACAGATTTTTCCTAGGCACAGCGTCTTTCTCCAACCCTTTAGTCCCTTAGTTTATAGCTGGGTATGGTGGGAATGCTGCATCTGGCACAGGGGAACCACAGAGGTTGTCATGACAGACTGGCACAGCTGCCCACTACAAGTGACTTTAATTACCGAGTCGCTGGTCCGGCCGGCTCAAGCCTGTTCCCATTTCCCCACCACCAATGGCATTCATGTGAAACTTGGCCCAGAGACAGGAGACTCAGCTTTATTGTGGAAAAGCCCAGCTGGTAGAAGTCAAACAGCAACAGAATGTTTATTTTAGCCCATCTATATACAACGTATCAGGGTTGGGGTTTTCTATATGTATCTGTCCTGCCCTCCTGCAGCCTCAGATGTATTTATCCCTTTCAATACATTTCCTTTATGGGCCATGGGCATGCTATTAGCCATAGAACAGAACTCTTCTGGGTGAAATCCGATCAAGTAATCCCTAGGCCCTATTTTTTAATCCCTCAGGCTCCCTTCCTAATCTGCAGCTCCTACATAGCACTCTGGGGGCCCGCCTGCTCAGTGGAAGAGGCTCCAGCTGGGGGTGTGAAGGGCACCTCCAGCATTGACTCAGGAGGAGGGCCACTCTCTTCTCGAAGATGCCCCTGATAGAGCCGGCGAAGGCGGAGCAGCTCTCTCTCTGGTGGCTGTTCCCAGCTGTACCATGGGTACCAGGGATCACCTGAAACCAGGGTGGGGGCTGGTGGAGTAGCACTCACAGCTCCATGAGAGGTATTAAGGTCAAGGTCCCGAGGTTCAACCAGGGGAATGTAGTAACTGAGGAGACCTAAATGATTAAAAAAGAGAGACAATATAAAGTGATGGAGGGAAGCAAAGAGAGGTAGTTCAGATTAAGACAATCAGGAAAATGATCTATAGAGGGAGCAAGGGTACCATTAGAGCCACTGGGTACAAAAAGGCAACTGGCCAAGGGGCAAGTGTGGGCTTACATACTGCCTGGGCTCTTTCTTGCCTGCCAAGCTGTATAGCCCTGTATGCAGGCTATGAAGTTGAATTTGCCCTAGGTACCTTTTGCTAATTTGTGCAAAGATGTCATGGAACCCAGGGCCAGAAATTTCTACAAAGATCCTCCTATGATCTAGCTATGGCATTGGGACCAATAGTTACAAAATAAGAGGGTTAAGAAAGAAAAGACAAAGAAAAAGGTACAGGGCAGTGACAAGGTAAAGAGACTCAGGAGTGAGAACAAGGGACAGTGGAATGATGAAAGAAGAGATTCTTGGGAAGAAAATTTTGGATGCTACGTCCCAGATAGGTGATAGCATTTATAGCCACCCTCCAGCCCTAAGTCACCTTTATGCCTAATAAAACTGCCCTGTGTCCCTTCTTGTGCTCACCATGATCCCTGGCTTTCTGAATGGCCTGGGTCAACTTTTTATGCTGCTTCATACAGACCCCTGTAAGGAGTAAAAAACATAATTTGGTGCTCAAATGCATAGTAACTACAGCATACAACTGCTTCTATCTGGTGAGAGGGCTGGATCTGGAAGACCTGGCCTGTACCCAATGGCCCCTTCACCTAACCCCTCCATGGACTCCAGTTTCCCCATCTGCTCAATGGGAAGAATCCTTCCTCCCTCTCGGAGTGGGGATGAAGATTTAGAAGGGCCTAGCCACTATAAAGAAGCCATTTAGTAATAAAAGCTCAAGACAGGGAGTTGAACACAATTCAAAAAGCGAGTGTGGTTAGAGTGTGGTCAGTAAGGATTTCAGACCTGGGAAAGTGATCTGAAAAAGTAGCAAAATAGTCCCTTCGGCCTTCCTGACAGACTAACTTCCAAGGATCATGCTGCCACCCCAAAAAAGGCAGACTCAGACTATTCTTTGCCAACTTATCTTGCTTTAGAGCAGGGAATAGCAAATTTTTCTGTGTAGGGCCACATATTTTAGATTCTGAGGGTCTTGTCTCAGCTACTCAACTCAGCTGTTGTAGCGTGGAAGCAGCTACAGAATATGAAAACAAATGGATGTGGCACTGAGCCAAATCTGGCCTGTTAACGATAGTTAAGGAATAGATGTAATCTTGAATTGTGAATATTACAATAGCCAATTTGTGAAACCGAATTTAATTGTCAATGGTTTTAAAGAACTTATGTGATAATTAGTTTGTGAGAAAACCTCTTGTAAAAAGTAAGGAGACCTTACAGAAAGAAAATACTCACCAGCATTATCTTTTAAGAGCTATAATTAGTTTGTTTATACTGATTGGTACTTGCCTGTATCTTTCGTCCACATGTAATTGTTTTAGTATGTGAGTAGCCCCATTAAGGCAGGATTTCTGTAATCACACTTTTTATGCTGTAAGTAAGAGCCACCAAACAAATACCTATTGTTTGTGTTAATATATGAAAAATGCTCCAAGGAAAAGCTGTTTCGGTGGTGACAGGGATGATGGGCTAACCTGTGTATGGAGCATGGAAGATGATACCCGTGTGAGCGCAGACAAACTGTTCCAACAGCTTCACGTTCTGTAGGAGAAAGTGGTGGAGAAACACAAGAGGGGAAAGGAAGGGCAGTGAGACCTTTCAAGACTAGACAACCCCTATACTGCCTACACGATGACCTTAAGCCCTCTATGTCTTTCCAGATGTTCTCCTCCTCCATGTCCCAGTTTTAGCGCCATCACTTTACTAAACAGATTCTTGAAAACTCCAGCACTTTTCCCTTTCCTGGCCTTTCAGCCATTTCACGTGCACATCTGGTATTCTGTCACTGAGATTCACGTAGAATTCTCTTCTACAAGGTTAAGTTCTAAGATCAGCCCTTTTGTAAAAAATTAGGGTCAGTTGGCAATCCCTTAAATCATCCAGAAAATGTAGTGTATGTTGTAATGTTTCTGTATAAACGATTAACATATTGAATAGCACAGTATATGTAACAGATATATTTACTAAGATCACTTCTACAGTTTTAATTATGTAAATGACCATCAGCCAGGAGGTGACACCCAAGGAAAAAGCATGTACAGTTGCAGAGTAGAATCATCTGGCAGGCAGAATCATCTGATTATTCAATTTGTAATCTTTCTGTCTCCCTTGGTTATAAACTATATGCAATTGGTTATAATATTTTTATAACCAGTTGTAGACAGTTGAACTTGAAACGTTATCTATAGGACTGTTCTGCATTAGTCAGAAGGGGCCTGACAGTAGTCAGACATCTCCATCTGCTGACTGATATAAGAATGCCCTTCAACTTCCCCAATGACCAGCCATTCAGCATCTCCTCTAACAGCTTCACTGCAAGCTCAGAAGAGCACTTTCCCATTACCAGTTTTGTAAGGTTTTTGAAGTCTTTAAGGAGCAAGTCCTGTTCTCCTTACAGTGGAAGAGAAAATAGCTGGACTCTGTATCTTGCTTCATGTATCTGCCTTCTAATCCCAAGTCTAGGCATGCCACCAATCATCAACATGACAATGAAAGAAGAAAACTAGCCTAATCTACTTGCTAGTAATTGTGATGGATATAAATGAACCTTTGGGTGTTGCTCTCCCATTAGAAATAGGCATTTTTCTTGCCTGCCAATTGAGACTATAAATGTCATAGGTAGGGAAAGAGGCTTTTTAGTATAATCCATAGTAGATGGGAAAAGGCTGGTGGGAAAAATGTTTTTATATTGCCAGAAAATCAGTACAAAATGGACTTTAGGGTGCCAGGAAATGAAGAAGAGTGAGGCACCTATGGTAATCTTATTAGTATTGCAAAGAGCCTCTAAATCCTTACCTTGGAGAAAAGATTCTCCTTACCCTAAAGTCAATGTGCAGCTTGTAATCCCGGCAGATGGGGCAGGGATTCCCAGCGACTTTATTTCCACGCTGTAGAGAAAAGAAACTAGCAAGTAAAGATGTTCAAAGCCCTATCAGAAAAAGTGCTACTGCGACTGTCCCCATGGTCTCCACCCCCCACTCCACCTCCCATTCACGTGCCACTCTCAGACTCACAATACACGTCTTTCTAGTCTGTTGTGGGGGTATTCCACCTTTGTGGTTGCGACGGTAGTCAGCCCAGACGGAGCGAGAACCATAGCGATTCTGGTATTCTGAAATGAAAGCTCACTCAACTTATTCCTGGGTGAGGGTGAAGCAGGTGTCTCTGTCCATTTATTTCAGACCCCACCTGACCTTCCCCTCCCCATTCAGAGGTACCTTCTGAGTCTAGGTACTTCCAGGGTTCATTCTCATAAGGGGATGTGGGAAGCTGGGACAAAGAATCTTCCTCAGAGGGGGCTTCCATGCAAAGAGACTGGAGGGGAACCTATAAAAAGAGAGCAAAAAATGAGAGAATAAATCCAAGGAAGGGGCCCAATTGTTTTGCCGTCCACACTTTGGGGGAGAAGAGGAATGAACACCCATTGTGTTAATGGAATATATCAAGAATATGTATGGAAAATAGCATTTCTATTGAGATTAAACTAACATCATCAACAATCATTCAATCTCGAAGTGAATCCTGAAAAGGATGCTAAGGTAAGGGGAAAATGAGGACAGGTGACTGGAAGGCAATATTATATAAAAGACAACTTAAACACCTGGCACATGGAAGAAGATATTCATGAATTTTTGGATGAACTGAATGTAGTGAAGAAAAAAAGGAGAAAAAAAGAAAAGGGAGGATGTCTAGCTTCTTGAAAGTAAGATGTGGTGGACAGAGGGGTGGCACAGGACAGGTGAGTCTCCAATCCAATCCCGAATCACTGAGTTACCCGGCTTATAAAAGGCTGAAAGTCAACATTCCATAAGGCAGAACAAACGAGTCCTAACGCTAGCTTTAAAGCTCCTAGACCTGTTATTAACTCTGTGGTGACCTCTGTCACAACTCCTCAGGCCCACTTCAGGGAGCGGCAGTGGGCAAGTCTTCCTATCTCATCCTGCCCCACCAAAAATCTGCTTTCAAGAACCTCCGGGGTGGTGAGTACTTGAGGCTCGAAACCTCAATCCAAAGGGCTGAGTTAAGCTTTAATTTTAAAAATGAACGGATTTAGTGAGATAAAGAGAGCTGAAAAACTGGTCCCCAGGTCAAGAAGCTGTATCCTAGCTTTATGGGAAAGATCAAGGCTGATAGAAGTCAGCATCCCTCATCAACCCAGGGATACTTCAGAGCATCTCAGATATAGACGCCATCTGCATAGCTGAACTGGTTGTGCATTACCAACGGGGTCGATTTCTTCACTTAATCATTTAGCATAGTTGGTAACTTGGGAAGAAGACAACAGCTAACCTCGGCTCGGGATTAGAAAATGCGCGCAGTACAGGGAAGGGTGAGAGGAACGGGGAGGATGGTGGAAGCAAAGAGTTACCCAGACATCAAAGTCATAAGCCCCTGGATTCCGACCAGCGGAGTGACGACCAAGAGAAGATATAACTAAATTAGGGCTGTGCAAACTGTGCTCCAAGGAGTTACCTGAACTCCGGCGGCACCTCTGGAGGGCGAAAACCTGGGAAGGCGTCTCAGCAGCGTACTGAGCACGGAGGCCGCCATCTTGACGTAACGCCCCAAACAGGAAGGTCTAGAAAGGCGACTGCGCATGCCCTAGAAAACTGACGAGGGTAGGACCAAGGACGAGCCCGTAGGGCGGGAAGCGCCGCGCACTTGCGTCAGGACGGAAGCGTGGGAGGGTGGAGGGGCGTAGCGGAGAAGCCAATTTCGACTGCGTCACAATAGAATTCGGCCTCAAAAACACATTTTTATCGAACTAGTCATTATGAGTCTTAGCTCTCATACTCAGACTTTGCGTTTTAAGCAATTTTGAAGGAGATTTTTGACCGCGATCCTCTCAGTGCGCATGCGCCGATTCAGTTCTACCAACCCAGGGTAAGAGACGGTCTTGAGGACGGAAGTAGTGGAAACAGAGGAAAGGGAGGTGCTAGTCTCTCCGGTCACGCGCACGTACGGGAGGCCCGGCAGGAGGCGGAAGAAGGTGCTGGTAGGAAAAGGGTTGAGTGAAGTCGAAGGAAGGGTAGCCAACCAGCTACTGAGTTGTCTTTCGGGCTGACCAATGGATTTACGCCTCGCTCCCAAGGTCTCGCGACAAGGGCGTTCACTGACCACGGTTGGGCGCGTTGGGCGGTGTCCGGATATAAAAGACTCCGCCCGAGCGGGCAGCCGCCATTCTGGGGTTCGTTTAGAGGTAAGTACTTTCTTCTCGTTGTTTAGGTGGTCAAGTTTTTTTTGAGAGCTTCAGAGTGGGCTAGGGGTAAGGTGTGGGTTCAGTTCAAAGATGGCTTATGTGAAGCGGCTGTGTTCGGGACGGGACACGGAATTGGTTGGGGACAACAAAGGTGGTACTTTCGGGTATTTGAAAGCAACCCGCACTGATTACAGCTTTCTCCCTTGTGTTCCTTTTATCCCAGGTTTGAATTATCTCGGAGAAAGGCCGGCCTCAAGGAAAAAAGAAACAAGCCGCAGCAACATCTAATCCCTTGAAAGGATCCTGGGGGGGAAGGGAAAACAGCAGCCACCAGCCCAACCACTGTGTCTTCTGCCCCCTCCCTTCCCACCTATCTTGCCCACCCCACCAGCCCACGCTGCTTGGGACTTGAAATCTGTGGCCGAAGGACCATCACCACATAAATCCAAAAATAATCAACCACCCTCCCTTACCAAACCCACCCAAATTCATTCATCCAGCATTTACCTTTTTGAATCCACTCAGAACTTACTTTCTACGACCCCCCCCCCGCCCTAAATGGAGTTGGGTGGGGGGGGAAATGAATACTGAGTTGGCTTTTTTTTTTTCTAAGAGACTTTTTGATCCAATGAGGCCCCCCAAATAATTGAGTTTTGGGTCCTGGTTGGTTGATTTTTTTTTTCTCCAAAATTTTAACCCCCTCCCCCCTGAGCCCGAGGTGCTGACGTCGCAAAAAAATTGGATAGTAAGTGTCGAATTTTCAAAAACCAGCCTTGCAACAAGAAATCAACGTATCCCGTTGTGAAACCAAAATAATGAGAGGAAGAAATGAGACCATAGGACAAAATAGAGAACTGGAGAAGGACCAAGCCGGTCACTTAATCTCCACTGAAAAGGGCCTTTGGGTCTAAAAACAGTCCTGTTCTCTCTCCCCTGCCACCTACCTCTTCCCTGCCCTGCTGCAGGCGAAAAGATGGAGGGCCAGCAAGTGGGAATTTTGACGGTTAACCCTTGGTAATCCAGCCAATTTCCAGACTGCCAAAGCTCTAAGTATAAGGGGGAATGGTTATGTTCCTCTCATCAGCAGTCTTAAAAAGGGTTAATGAGCTCACATACAAAAGATGGTGGATCTTGTGGCCTAGAAGTCCCACCACTTTGTGTGTGAGACAACCAGAGCGCCTTTCAATTCGCCAGATTATAATAAGCAATCTGTACATAAAGATTGCAGGGTAAGGAGATGGGCAGAGAGAAATAGCTGGCTATGACTTAAATGTTAAATCCTCTCAATGTAATTTGGGGTGTATTTGTGTGGTTAAATAGGTGGCAATCTAGGAATAAAGATTGCAAGACACTTAATCCAGGGCAAGATAGAATAGTGTCAGTACAAAACAAGATAATAGTTGGGGAGGTAAATGTTTTGTAATTGTTGCAGATTGCATAGGTTATTTAAAAGCCAAGAGTGATTAACATTTTAACTTGATACTTTATGGTGGGACTACAGTTAATAGAGGGTGGAAAGGGTGGGAAATGTGAAATTCAGGAGTATAACTTTTAAAGCCATTTAGTGCAATTGAATGCTAGCGTTCTAAAAGATTTGTGTCGTTAAAAGGGTTTTTTTTTCTTCCCTGCTTCAATATGGCGACTTTTCATTGTCCTTTTGTCTTAACAAGCGGCGTTGCAGATTGTGTCTTGACCCATTTTCTCCTGTCCTCCCGCCTCAACCCTATTTGTTGAGAGGGGTCCAAGTCCTCCCCCTTCGTCTTTACAGGGATTATAGAGGTGGTCTATGGTAGCAGGTTGAACCTCAGTTGCAAATTCAGTTCTTCCCCGCAGGAAATTGTTCTTTTTAATATTTTAATTGCTTTTATTTTCACAATGCTCTTAAAATAGGTCAAAAATTATTCAGGATAGTGGGTGGTTTCTCTTTTTTTTATACTTAAAAAGGGTGCTTTTTTATGTAACTAGCTCCCGGCAGAGCCGGAGTACCTTATCTAAGTTTTCCTCTTCTCCATTACAAAATGGCGCCCCTGCTTTGTTGTTTTGCTTCACGTTTTGCCAACCAGAGCTTAGGGCCGCCCTAGAAACTTGGTGAAGGGGAGGAGCAGCGTGGAAAGGTGATGTAATCAGCGTTTTCCTCCACACTAAACACCCTTAAGCAGATAACCTTCTGGACTCTGCACGCTGCTGCTAGACAGAAAAAGACATTTTCCTTGTTTTCTTTAGAATAATTATCTTTTACAGCCACGGAAAAAAAAGCTTACAGGAATTAGATGTTGAAGCTGTCCATCTCCTTGACGGCTCTAGTTTTTCTATTAACCAGAGCCTGTTGCTTTTATTTTCACCTTGCACTCATTACAACTGCTTGGAAGTTTTCCCTGATTCAGTTGTGGGGTGGAAAACCAGTCAAACCAACTATATAAGACAAACGTGTGTGTGTGAATGTGTGTATGTGTGTTGGGTGATACCGGGGCAAGACACACAGGCTTGTGAAAGAATTTGAATAGACCATTGGGGCCTAATGACACAAATGTGCCATCTCTGCTCAGGAACCAGTTCTTGGGCGTCGCATTTGGTTGCTTTGAATGAGAATCTGGGGGGAGGGTGGGTACTTAGAGGACTTTCTTCTAAATCGCCCTTATTCCCGCCTCTGGGTTTGGGGGTAAACTCTTTGTATTCAGTTCTGTATCACGTTCTCCAGTTGGCTTAGCTCCTGTACATTGGTACTAGGATGAGAAGTGAATCTTTAGGAAAGGAGGCAACAGTTGTAAACTCAAGGCAGGGGGAATCAAGCTACGGTTTCTGGTAAGCAAAACCTTTCTGGTATTAACATTTCACAACCATTTCTTTTTTCCAAAGAGCTACCTCTTTTTGAATTTCTTTTTCTTCCCCTTCTAAAAGGAATTCCTCAAAAACAATGGGAATATGTCTTACTCATTTTTCAACTCTTGCGGTGCTATAGCAGTCCATGCATGTTTGAGATCCAAGCCCCTGAGGGGGTGGTATTGGGCACCCTTTCCCTTAAACTTTCTTCGTCCAACTTTTTCGAAGTCAAATCTTTGTCAGACTCTCCATATACCTTTCATTTTTTTCAAGTCCTTCCCTGAAGCTTGGAAATTGTAGGCAGAATCGGAAAGCCATTTTGTACAACTGTCCTGTGGTGACTTGGTGAGACTTAAGGGCTAATTTACTGCTGGGTATGGACTCAATCAAATTAACTAGTTTCTGGGTTGAATGGGTGGGACTCTTCCACATGTCTATTGACCACAAGTTTTTTTATCTTTTAAGCAGTTTGCCATATGTCTCTGCAGCATACCTTGGGAGCTGAACTTTCTACCACTGGGGTGCCTGAGCAGGGGATTAAGAAGATCTTCCTTAACTTGGGAGATGGGAGACAAGGTCTTCTAGGGAAACCAGATCCATCCAGACAACCTCGGAGAACCTGATCATTGTAGTTTGAGGCTAGAGTTTTATTCTGGGACTCTTGGGGAGTGGGATTTACATCCTTACTGAAAGGCAGATGAGTTTTTGGGGAAATCATGTACTGATTTACAAAATGGTTTTGAAGAATAGGGGCTTACTATTTAGTAAAGAGGTTTAATTTTGTGAATCACCTGAGAGACTTAATTCAGGCCACTACTGAAGTCATGCTAGTAAATGCCTCACACCAAGGAAAGGAAGGGGAATGTAAGGGGTCAGATATAAAGCACTTTCACTTCCAGAAGTGCTAAGTGCTAAGTTAAGGTAAACTCGGACTCCCTCCTCTGTTAGAAGGGTGTTGTGATTGTTTTTAAAAGAATGTCAAAGTTCTGACTTGCATGGAATTTTTGCCCTGAACCAATTCAGTTATTTTTCATTGGTGATGGGTGTGGAGTAACTAGCTAAGCCAGGTATTTTTCACCCTATTTAAATGAATAACCTTCAAGTAAAGAGCATTTTGGAGGCAGAAGTCTCACTTCTGCACTTGTAATTTTATCTCTGGTAAGAACAGTAGGAATTCCCCAGTGCTTTGTGTCAATAGTACACATCTCTGCCTGCAACAGCCTCAATAAGGAAAGCACAGCTTAGGACAAGGTGGAGACAAGGCCAGGGGGGTTGCCTTTCTCCATTCTGTGTGTTCTACCTTCAAGGAAATTAAAACTTCATGCCCTGGATTATTTTTGGTTCCAGAAAGCTCCCTCAAACTTTCGTGCCAGGCTCCAGGTAGGACTAGGTAGTGTTAAGACACTTGGTCCCTCCCGCTCCTTCCTTGGTCAGCTCATTTGCTTTTTCTGCTGGAGGCCTGTGCCAGGAATTTAGACTCTTCGCTACTTTCTACTTGAGTGCCTTGGAACTTTTTTCAAAATGTACTGACTTCAGAGTAAGGAAATTAGATTGGGGTCCTTAATTTTAAATTAATAAAAACTAATTTGCCTATAGGAAAGCCATCTTGAGAAAATGACATTTACATTTTATCACATGATGGATGCTCATGAGACCAAATGTAGTTTTGTTATATTTCCAAAATACAAATAATAGGAGTAATAGTGGAAAATGAACATTTAACATTAATTCTGCTTTTCTTCTAGCATCCCTTGACTGTTCCTCTTGTTATGAATGGGAATGAAAAAGTCCCTGGGTCCCATTGCCAGCAGAAGCCACTGGACAGAATTTAGCTTTGTATTCATTGGCCTCTTTCTAAAGATTGTTATTCTCTTGTCTCCCACCTTCTTAATGCAGAGGAGCATTTGAACTCATGTAACAGTGTTTTTAGTTTCTGAACTGGCAGTAGGCCTGTTGGCTTAGATGGTAGTTGGATATGCAAAATCTCTGAGGTGGTGTTTATTCAGTTCTGGATTTGAAACAGTGGAGTTGGCTATAGTCAGTGGGGACTGGTTTGAAGTGAAGTTTAATTGAAGGCTTTTGGTTAAATTGTGTATTTTGGTTGCTGATGTTATATGATGTTACTTTGGATTCGTTTATTGCTTTCCCAGTCTCGCAGATGGGGAATCTTGTTTTATATCCCTTTATTGTATGTACATATTTATATTGTCTTAACTACATGGGAAAAATGCCTTTGTCCCATGTTTGTCTCTGTATAAGAATCACGACTCTTCAGTGGATTTGGCCCTTGGACCTCTAATTTTACCTGGTATTCTATTTAGTGTTTTTTCCTCAGACCTCAGGTTCTACCTGTCCTTGTGGAGGTTCCAGGGCAGCAGTGACAGCACAGTTAACTCAAATGTGCTCACCTGTCAACATTTCTTACGTCATCTTCTCTGTATTCAGCCCACAGGTTATGATCTCAAGAAGCCTCATGCTCCGGCCTCTTCTCACCTTAGTTGTTAGGACATAATATTTAGGAATTTACTGACCTTGTTATTGGGAGGACTAAACTGTTGGGATGGTTAATGGTTGTTTTTCTTTTTGGTTTGAGAACAAGTAGAACTAATTTACATCATAAGAAACCTGTTCTCTTTTCTGCACAGAATATAGTCATCTTTGTAAAAAGTCTTTTGATTTTTCCACCCTTTGGTGGGACAGTGTCTGTTAACTCGGTACCAAAAGCAAGGTACAAGGTATGTTTTTTCTCCTTGTCCTTTCTCTCCAGCCTTATTTCCCAAACCGACATTACTGAGGTGGCTTTCTTTTTTGGTTCTCAGAAGCTGGTAGGGGCATTGTGTATAAAAACCCCTATCAGAACCACACTGTAAATTATACCTCTCTGAAACTTAGGTCCTGGCCTACAAATTGCTTTATACTTGTCTGTCCCATAACAGCAGTTTAGCTTTTCAGTTAACTCCTTTTTTCTCTGGTCTAAAGTAGCTACTTAAAATGTACTGGCATGTTTCCAGCTTCTAGCTCTATTCCATTCTTTTTGGCTCCATGGTTTCTAGTTTCAGGGCTTTCTTAGGGATCTTAGATGGTATGATTTCCTGGGGGAATAAAGGGTCAGATTTGCATCTTTGCTCTTGAAACCACAGACCAGTCTGCCCTTAATTTTGAAACAATAAAAACTTGTGCAGTGTTTGGTTGGTTAATGAGTGACATTCTTTCAAGGCTTAAGAAGACCTGTTAGATTTCCTTTGTATCCATTTGTTTCCATTTCTGGGAGCTTGTTATAACTCCCTTGTTGACAAACCATTTCTTCTCTAGTGCCTGTTATTTAAACTGATTGTCTGCTGGCACAGAGCATATAGCCTGCCATTTGTGATTATGACTCTTAATGGGCTAAGCTAAAAAGGAATTGGCTAAGCTTAGAAAACATTTAGCCAAAGTGCCCAAGACTGGCCCAGTTTTTACCAAGTTGGCATTTTTTGTTCAAGTCAGATCAGCAACTAAGGAGAGACAGGACCTAACAATAAGCAAAAATGCATTGTAGAGTTGAGTGTTATGGGAATGTGAATCTTCGCTCTAATATGGTATCATCTAGGGAAGCCCAGCTGTCTTAGGAAGGATGGAACTAGGAGAGGAGGGTGTGCTGCCCATCCTGCAGTCATTGCCCAGTCATGTGGTAGCACCATGCTTAGCTTGGCAGGGCAGTTTTCTCAGTGATGGCAATGGGGTGTTGATATTTCTAATCTAGAAAATGGTGAGTGTAGTACAGTGTTTTGTCAAATGTGGAAATGGAATTTATTAGAGGGTATACTGGGGCTGTCCTTGCCACCCATTTATTCTGTGGGTTTGTTTTGTCCTCTCAGAAACCTCAATCATGGGTTCGGGTCCCATAGACCCCAAAGAGCTGCTCAAGGGCCTGGATAGCTTCCTTAACCGAGATGGGGAAGTCAAGAGTGTAGATGGGATTTCCAAGATCTTCAGGTGAGTCTATACCCATCTTTGGATTCATTGTGAATAGGGAGTACTGTATGTTATAATATGACTATAATTAAGGCAGAGAGGATCAATCTTCCTGGAGAGTAAAGGGAGAGTCAGTGGAATAGGATTGAAACAGTAGTTCTAGAATAAGTGATGGATGATCCCTTGGTTCCTGGCCATAATGAAATCTGGATAGTCACATATCCAGTCCCAAGGGAGACAAACTTTGGAAGGAGGGAATCAGGGGAACCAGGTGACAGAATTCTTGGTTCTGGTTGGGGTCATGTTCCACATACCCATATTTATTTTCCTTCAGGGATACTCAAGTTTTCCCAGGGGAAAGTAAATGACTGAACCAATCCTGAACAGACCTGGAAGGAATGGTTGGAGGGCTGGGGCTCTTCACCTGGGATAGGAATCAAATATGCCCTGTGTTAGAGAGGCAGTGTTCCCCTCCCCAATCTGAGACTTCAGTGTCTCCTCAGCTCTCTTCTGTCTTCCTTTGGGTTTCTATGTCCCTCTGGGTCCATCCCATCCTCCTAGAGACCAGTGTGAGCCTCCCATTCTGCAGCAAAGTCCCAAGTCATCAAGGATTTCCAGGCAGCCCCCCAGATGAGAGACTCTTCTGCTCAAAGAAGAGGCTCCCTCTGGCTGCTCTGTTTCTAACCTTAACTCACCTCCTGCAGCCTGATGAAGGAAGCACGGAAGTTGGTGAGTCGATGCACTTACTTGAACATTCTCCTGCAGACCCGGTCACCAGAAATATTGGTCAAGTAAGTGGGGAGCTGGTGGCTTGGATGGGTAGATGCAGTTAGAAGTGGGGGGAGATAAGGCATGGGGTTTCCTGGGATTGGTGGGGCTGGGAGTGTGTATGTGGTGCTTCAAAACCTGAGAAGGGCAATACAGATCTCTTTACTGCTAACAGGTTTATTGATGTTGGTGGCTACAAGCTTCTTAACAATTGGCTGACGTATTCAAAGACAACCAACAACCTTCCCCTCTTGCAGCAGATTCTACTGACCCTGCAGCACCTACCGCTTACTGTGGACCATCTCAAGCAGGTACCTTCAGTCTTTATGACCCCAGTGCTTCCTTTTTGGTGTAACCTAACTGATGAAAAAGTCATACCAACTCTGATGTGGTGGCAGTCTTGGGCTTGTGAGGTAGAATGGGAGAAAAAAAGGAATTTGGAATCAAAGGACTTGGTTCAAACTGACCTCTGATAGGTGTGTGGCTTGGGGCACTTAATATATTTGAGCCTCAGTTTCTTCATCTATAAAATGGGAATATTTGTACCTGCCCAACTTAATTGTTCTAAGTAAGAATATAGCTACAAAGGTCTTATAAAAGGTAAAGTAGTGGCTGTTAAGGGACTGTTAAGAGATTATGAGTAAGTTTGTGCAATTGTTAGCTCCAAGTGGGCTTTTCCTCCTGGTGTTTACCTTTCTGCTGTGCCCCATCTCTCATAGAACAACACAGCTAAACTGGTGAAGCAGCTGAGCAAGTCAAGTGAAGATGAAGGTAGGGCCAGTCCTTCCTCTCTGTTCTGGGCCCCCCTCCTTTACTGCCACATAATTACCTTTGCTTCTCTCCCCATCCTTGGATTGTCCCTTCACTCCTTCCTTCTTAATTCTACCTTACCTTGCTTTTCTCTTTTAGAAATATAGTTCCTCTAACCTATCCCCTCTTTTTTCTTTTCTCAGTTCTGAATGGGACTTATTTCTATACTGTTTATTGTAAGATAAGATACCATACTTTAACCAGAAGCTGATTCTTAAGATCTCTTGGTATAAAAGGCATACACTTAAAATTATTTGGAGGAAATAGTGGCATCCTAGAGAGTTTCGCCATCATTTACTTCTGTCTTTCTAAATTAATATTACATATGCTAGGATCCTGTCTATTTTCCTAACAATAGATACACTAGTTCTACCAATACACCTTCCTTTAGGGTATTGGCAGAGTCCTGACTCCTGGAGTATATCATAGTTTTGATAGCAACAGATTCTTTTCTGAGACAAGGGTTTTGGAGCTCCTGGCAAGGGCTGTATACAGTTCTGGCTTAAAGATGAAACCTGGCTCTGGACTGTCACAGCCTTTTCCTTAGAGAAGAAAAGGGTCTATGTCCAAGGCGTAAACGAGGAGCACAAGATACTCGTATTCCACAAGTGAGCAGCATTCAAGCAGAACTGATCCCCCTGATCAGAAGAGGGCTTGCTCTTTGTCTAAAGAGAATGCCGTGATAGGTCCTTGTGGAAAGAGGCTTTGGCCATTTGGTGTGGAGGAAGCAGGCAGGCCTAGATAAGCCTATTTGCAGTTGTTTAGCTAGAGGAGAAAATACTGGGAACACTTGCCAAGATAAGGATTTAACTCACAGTGTTGGTTAAGTGAAATACATTCTCTAGCTTTTTGATTCTTTTAGTTGTATTAATTCTCAGTCTTTAGGTACTTTTGGATTTTGGTCCCTTCACTATTTTTGTGACATCTTGAAGTATCTTCAGTAATTTGTAGCTTAACATATAACATGGAAGATCCCATTAATTTGTCATCCATCTCTTCTTTCTTTACTGCCGGGTAATTGTTCCCTGTTCTCTAGCTAGCACAATTATGCTGCCTCCTTTGAATATATATTTCATTATTCTATATTTCTTTAGGTACTGAAGTTTATACATGCTTATTGAGTAGTTAAGTCTCACTGGACCATAGTATCAGTTGCTCCAAAAGAGTTTTAGGTCATTCCTGCATTGGGGATGAAGCACTGAGGTTCATGTTGCCTTAAGTACAGAAATTGCCAGTTGTGTTGAGTGTTTAGAAGAGTTAGGTTTTAATTTTTTATGACAATCTCATTATTAAAGGAGTCTATAAGTAGAAATTTTGACAAGAAGAGAGGTGCCAGAGTAAGAGATGTTACTTGCCAAGTACGAAAGGCAAGAGCTACAAAGGTGTTTCATATATTTAAAAATAAATTCTGTTTCTGTAAATAAACTCTGCTTCCCCAACCCTTAATTGTTCTGTTTTTAAGCTCTTTTTTCATCATTGTGATACTTAATTAATTTTTTTAAAGCCATTATCACTAGCAGCATTCTAGGGGAAAAGGTTGCCTAGAAAATCTTCTTTACAATGAATGTAAATTGGCCACCTTGAAGCTTAATTGCATTAAGTTTGCCTTTAGGACAATGCAGAATAATACTATTTCTTTTAAAATCTGCTAGCCCTTCAGCTGCTTGAATCCTGTCTGCCTTTCTCCTGATTTTAGTTTCTGTTCTTATAACACATGATTAGTGGAAGAGTATAGGCACTAGTTCATTCTGCTGCTTTGTAGTTTTGTGACTTTAATTGTTATGCTTCTGTGTGTGTGGAGGGAGATCAAAAACCTTCAAGTTGTAACAACCACATGAGATACATATAAAGCAACTAAAGTAGTTCTTGCAATATATTCTGTAATAAATGTTCCTTCTTTTCACCCCCTCCTGTGTGATGGCATCTGGGTTGAAAGTTATCTGAATAGAAGATAACTCTGTGGTTCATTAAACCATTTTGAAGACTTTGGTTTTTAAGCCTAACTCATGTTCTTTTAAAACTCTGGGTTATTTTTTCTATTACACAGATTTTCATGGTATATTTTCAAACATCTCTCTTTTCTGTTACTGGAAGGAATAATATTTTTAATTACTTAGGCATTTCCCATTTCTCTTACCTGCAGAACTCCGGAAATTGGCCTCAGTCCTTGTCAGTGACTGGATGGCTGTCATCCGCTCCCAGAGTAGTACTCAGCCTGCTGGTAAGCTCCTTAGTCCTTCATCCCTTATATTTACTTCTTTCCCAGTGGGATAGGGCCTTCAGTGTCCTCTGCCTGCTTCACCTCTGACTGACAGTGTTTTTCTTTATCTAAATAAAATCCTTTCCTGTTTTGTTTTTCCACAACAGAGAAAGATAAGAAAAAACGTAAAGAAGAGGGAAAGAGTCGAACCACCCCTCCTGAGCGACCCTTGACTGAGGTGAAGGCTGAAACCCGGGCAGAGGAGGCCCCAGAAAAGAAGAAGGAGAAGCCCAAGTCTCTTCGAACCACAGCACCCAGTCATGCCAAGTTCCGTTCCACTGGTAAGGCTGTTGGCTGGCCCCAGGGGTCTGTGGGCAGATGCCGGCCCAGGGCCTTGCATGGAGTAGTGGATTTATGACATGGTTAACCCATGGAAGAGGCGAGACTAGTGGGTGAAGCTTTGCGGGGCTCTGTAAGGCTGGATGAAAATTTAACTGTGGGAACAGGGAGGAAGAGTTAGGAGAGTCGGGAGTGAGTTCAACTTTAAAACCATGTGTCTGCTGCCAGGGCTAGAGCTGGAGACCCCATCCTTGGTACCTGTGAAGAAGAACGCCAGTGCAGTGGTAGTTTCTGACAAGTACAACCTTAAACCCATCCCCCTCAAGCGTCAGAGGTACGGACTGTGTTCTGGGTTTGTAGGCTGGGTCTGCGGACAAGAGGGAAAGATGGGGTGAGTCAAACTGTCATTGACAGCTCCTTTTCTAACAGCCCTGCAGCTACTCCAGGAGATGCCACCCCCCCTGCAGAGAAAAAATACAAGCCACTCAACACAACACCCAATGCCACCAAAGAGATCAAAGTGAAGATCATCCCACCACAGCGTGAGTCTGAGTTTGGGGAATGTGCTTTGAGTTGGGAGCATACTCTTCATGGGAATGAGTGGCCTGGAGGGTGGGTAATCCTTGGTGTCCTGAAACTCCGCACCTCTGGAACGCCCCTTTCATCTTCACAGGCTGCGTAACAGTGATTTTAGAGATGAGTTGGTGTGGGGGAGAGGGGGGTGCCATTTAGTGATTGATAGAGGTGCTCCCAGCTGGCAGGATAGCATGTCACAGGCTGGCTTCCTCAGTTTCCTTAAGCCCTGATTCAGATCCAAAGCCACATGTTGCCTGCCTTTAAAAGAGAGAGTGATGAAAAGAATTTCTTAGGTGGATCCTATTGTATACACTCCCTGTTCACCTTGAGCTCACTGTGTCCTAGGTTGAGGCTGGATTTCCATTGGCCCATTTTCTGCCCAGACTATAAGATTAGGATTATGAAGGGGATCTGATGATTCCACTTTATGCTTTTTCCTTCTGTAGCTATGGAGGGCCTGGGCTTTCTGGATGCGCTCAATTCAGCCCCTGTTCCAGGCATCAAAATTAAAAAGAAGAAGAAAGTGCTGTCACCTACAGCTGGCAAGGTATTGGTCCTGGGTGGTAGGTGTTTCAGTGACAGGGTGTGAAAGGTGATGTCAGAGGAAGGGGCCCAGCAGCCAGGAGCAGGTGAGTCAGCAAGAGGAGTTTTGTCTCGGATATGGACTTGTGGCGGTGGGACAGTGTTAGAGGCAGAGTCTTTGTTAAGATCCCACCTGAGATCCTGGACTCATTGCCTTGACCTTGGCTTTTTTGTCAGCTCATTAACTACTTCTTCTTTCACAATAGCCAAGCCCCTTTGAAGGGAAAACGAACACAGAACCAAGCACAGCCAAACCTTCTTCCCCAGAACCAGCACCTCCCTCTGATGCTGTGGACACAGACCGTCCAGGGACCCCAGTTCCCCCTGTTGAAGTTCCAGAGCTCATGGATGCAGGTAAGTCTAAACATTGGTTCTGGTGTTGGGGTTTTCTGAAAAGATGGGCCTGCGTCTGAAACTTCTCTGCTTATAGCCTCTTTGGAGCCAGGAGCTCTGGATGCAAAGCCAGTGGAGAGTCCCGGAGATCCTAGCCAATTGACCCGGAAAGGCAAGAAGAGGAAAACTGTGACGTGGCCTGAGGAGGGCAAACTGAGAGAATATTTCTATTTTGAACTGGATGAAACTGAACGAGGTTAGAAGTTACATTTCCTATATAGCAGGTTGGTAAAAAGAGCTTAAAAAGGACTTGGTTGTGCTTAGTTTCTCTCTTGGTCTTTTTCTCTTCAATAGTAAATGTGAATAAGATCAAGGACTTTGGTGAGGCAGCTAAGAGAGAGATATTGTCAGACCGACATGCATTTGAGACGGCCCGGCGTCTGAGCCATGACAACATGGAGGAGAAGGTGCCCTGGGTCTGCCCCCGGCCCCTGGTTCTGCCCTCACCTCTTGTCACACCTGGAAGCAACAGCCAGGAGCGATATATCCAGGCGGAGCGGGAGAAAGGGATTCTTCAGGAGCTCTTCCTGAACAAGGAAAGGTGAGCAGTTCATCCCCAGGGTGTTGAGCCCTTGGACTCCTGAGAACATGCCATAGGTGGTTAAGAAAGGGATGGAGGTTAAGAGAAATTTGAAGTCCTGAATATAATATATATATAAGTAAGTTGATTTACATATAAATAAGTTGACTCTTCTTTTTTCTGTTGCCTGTGGCATTCCTGATAGTCCTCATGAGCCTGATCCTGAACCCTATGAACCTATCCCTCCAAAACTCATCCCCCTAGATGAGGTGAGTGAGCTTCCTGGTGACAGGGGCTGTGGTTGACCGTAATGTATCTTTGGTGTGAGGATGTCTCTGTCCTTTCAGTTAGCCCTCACTGTCCTCCCATTCTTCTTCCAGGAGTGTTCCATGGATGAGACTCCGTATGTTGAGAGCCTGGATCCTGGGGGGGCTGGTGGCTCACCTGATGGGGCAGGCGGCTCCAAGTTGCCTCCTGTTCTAGCCAACCTCATGGGAAGCATGAGTGCTGGGAAGAGCCCCCAGGGTCCTGGAGGAGGAGGCATCAACGTCCAGGAGATCCTCACCTCCATCATGGTATGGGCCATCCGTCCTCTTTGGCACCTCCTCTGGAACCTCCCTTTCTCTTTACCCCAGTCCTCCTCACCTTCCCACATACCTCCTCTTGGGCTCTTCCTTTCCCTGCCAGTTTGCTGACCTCACTCTCTTGACCTTGCCTCATAGGGTAGTCCAAACAGTCATCCCTCAGAGGAACTGCTAAAGCAGCCAGACTATTCAGACAAGATCAAGCAGATGCTGGGTAATTACCAGGGCCAGCACCGGGCCCTTGGGGAGGAAGCCTGCAGTGGAGGCATGGAAAGCAGGGGTGTCACCACCAGGTGGCAAGACATGGGAGGGGGAGACTGGACAGAGAGCCCTGCTTTGCCAACTTGTTCTGAGAGGGTCAGTGAGGCACAGCTGGTGGGAAGTCATGCCACCCTTCTAGAATCCTTTTGCTGATGTTTCTCTCCTTTTTTCATTAACAGTGCCTCATGGACTCTTAGGCCCTGGGCCAATAGCCAATGGTTTCCCACCAGGAGGCCCTGGGGGCCCTAAGGGCATGCAGCACTTTCCCCCTGGACCTGGGGGACCTATGCCAGGTAGGTATTGAGTGAGATGTTGGAATGGTCTACCTGCTTGATTTTGGCCTGGTAATAGTATGTTGACCAAAAGGTGGGAGGTAGTTTAAGTTGGGTGAGGCAGTCCCTGAGTATAACAGGTAGCTGATATTGTCTCTCCCTTTTTTTCCCTGACAGGCCCCCATGGAGGAGGCCCTGGGGGCCCTGGTGGGCCAGTGGGTCCACGTCTTCTGGGTCCTCCACCGCCTCCCCGGGGAGGCGATCCCTTCTGGGATGGCCCGGGTGACCCCATGCGGGGGGGCCCAATGCGGGGAGGTCCAGGACCTGGTCCTGGACCATACCACAGAGGCCGTGGTGGCCGAGGAGGAAATGAACCTCCTCCTCCTCCTCCATTCCGAGGGGCCAGAGGAGGTCGCTCTGGAGGAGGACCCCCAAATGGACGAGGGGGCCCTGGTGGAGGCATGGTTGGAGGTGGGGGACATCGTCCCCATGAAGGCCCTGGCAATGGCATGGGCAGTGGCAGTGGACACCGCCCCCACGAAGGCCCTGGCAATGGCATGGGTGGTGGCCATCGCCCCCACGAAGGCCCTGGCGGGAGCATGGGTGGAAGTGGGGGACACCGTCCCCATGAAGGCCCTGGCAGTGGCATGGGCAGTGGCAGTGGACACCGCCCCCACGAAGGCCCTGGTGGGAGCATGGGTGGAAGTGGTGGACACCGCCCTCACGAAGGTCCTGGACATGGGGGGCCCCATGGCCACCGGCCTCATGATGTCCCTGGTCACCGAGGCCATGACCATCGAGGGCTACCCCCTCATGAGCACCGTGGCCATGATGGCCCTGGCCATGGAGGAGGGGGCCACCGAGGGCACGATGGAGGCCACAGCCATGGAGGAGGTGAGGATGCTCCCTGTCCCCCAGATGGCTTTTGGTGTCCCATACAAGTTTCTGGGAAGTGTCACCACCCTGAGTATGCCAGGCCAAACATGAGGTTGCCCCATTCCCAGCATGTATGGCAGTTCCTACCGTTTGCCCTAACCCTAAACCCCAAGACCCCATATCTCTCTAAAAGGCAGTTCTCAGGATGCCATGGACTGTGGTGGGTGAGGGTGGCGCTGACCACTTAGCCATTTCCTATTTAACCATTCCACCATCGTTCCCACAGACATGTCAAACCGCCCCGTTTGCCGGCATTTCATGATGAAGGGCAACTGCCGCTATGAGAACAACTGTGCCTTCTACCACCCGGGTGTCAATGGGCCCCCCCTGCCCTAGGGTCCACCTGCCTCCCTGCCCACACGTACCCCTGTGGACTGCAGCCTTGCTCCTTGCACCTGTTAATGGCTTCTGTGAGGCCCACTTTCCCCAGCTGATGAGGAGCCGGCCCCCTCCCAGTTCCCACCTGCTTGGTTCCTGGGTGTTTTCTGATCACTGGTGCACGTTGATGTACGTATTTCCTCCAGTCTGGGGAGGAGAGAGACTGGACATACTCTGTATCCTGGACTGCTGAAGAGGAGACCCAGTTGGCTTCACTTTTTGAGGAGATTTACCCTGTAACCCCAAACCTCTTCTGCCTGAGAACCTAAATCTGGTTATCCTGGAGAACACCTCTGCTTTCCATTGGGGGTCCTCCACATGCACACAGAACTGACATGGGATCACCTGCACTTATGAAATAATCCTAGCCAAGCTCCTTAATACCCAGGAGGTGGGGAGATGGTAAAAGGGATATTGTATATCCCACTGCACTGAGAGGGCTCAATCAGGCTGGATTTGAGTTCTGGAACACATCATCCCCACTTCTCCCCCAGCACAGTCTTTACATTCTGAATCCTCTCTCAAGTAAGACTTCGCAACTTTCTGTGAAGACCCGTGTCTGCATCATGGGTTGGGCCAGTCCTTCCTCTCTGTTCTGGGCCCCCCTCCTTTACTGCCACATAATTACCTTTGCTTCTCTCCCCATCCTTGGATTGTCCCTTCACTCCTTCCTTCTTAATTCTACCTTACCTTGCTTTTCTCTTTTAGAAATATAGTTCCTCTAACCTATCCCCTCTTTTTTCTTTTCTCAGTTCTGAATGGGACTTATTTCTATACTGTTTATTGTAAGATAAGATACCATACTTTAACCAGAAGCTGATTCTTAAGATCTCTTGGTATAAAAGGCATACACTTAAAATTATTTGGAGGAAATAGTGGCATCCTAGAGAGTTTCGCCATCATTTACTTCTGTCTTTCTAAATTAATATTACATATGCTAGGATCCTGTCTATTTTCCTAACAATAGATACACTAGTTCTACCAATACACCTTCCTTTAGGGTATTGGCAGAGTCCTGACTCCTGGAGTATATCATAGTTTTGATAGCAACAGATTCTTTTCTGAGACAAGGGTTTTGGAGCTCCTGGCAAGGGCTGTATACAGTTCTGGCTTAAAGATGAAACCTGGCTCTGGACTGTCACAGCCTTTTCCTTAGAGAAGAAAAGGGTCTATGTCCAAGGCGTAAACGAGGAGCACAAGATACTCGTATTCCACAAGTGAGCAGCATTCAAGCAGAACTGATCCCCCTGATCAGAAGAGGGCTTGCTCTTTGTCTAAAGAGAATGCCGTGATAGGTCCTTGTGGAAAGAGGCTTTGGCCATTTGGTGTGGAGGAAGCAGGCAGGCCTAGATAAGCCTATTTGCAGTTGTTTAGCTAGAGGAGAAAATACTGGGAACACTTGCCAAGATAAGGATTTAACTCACAGTGTTGGTTAAGTGAAATACATTCTCTAGCTTTTTGATTCTTTTAGTTGTATTAATTCTCAGTCTTTAGGTACTTTTGGATTTTGGTCCCTTCACTATTTTTGTGACATCTTGAAGTATCTTCAGTAATTTGTAGCTTAACATATAACATGGAAGATCCCATTAATTTGTCATCCATCTCTTCTTTCTTTACTGCCGGGTAATTGTTCCCTGTTCTCTAGCTAGCACAATTATGCTGCCTCCTTTGAATATATATTTCATTATTCTATATTTCTTTAGGTACTGAAGTTTATACATGCTTATTGAGTAGTTAAGTCTCACTGGACCATAGTATCAGTTGCTCCAAAAGAGTTTTAGGTCATTCCTGCATTGGGGATGAAGCACTGAGGTTCATGTTGCCTTAAGTACAGAAATTGCCAGTTGTGTTGAGTGTTTAGAAGAGTTAGGTTTTAATTTTTTATGACAATCTCATTATTAAAGGAGTCTATAAGTAGAAATTTTGACAAGAAGAGAGGTGCCAGAGTAAGAGATGTTACTTGCCAAGTACGAAAGGCAAGAGCTACAAAGGTGTTTCATATATTTAAAAATAAATTCTGTTTCTGTAAATAAACTCTGCTTCCCCAACCCTTAATTGTTCTGTTTTTAAGCTCTTTTTTCATCATTGTGATACTTAATTAATTTTTTTAAAGCCATTATCACTAGCAGCATTCTAGGGGAAAAGGTTGCCTAGAAAATCTTCTTTACAATGAATGTAAATTGGCCACCTTGAAGCTTAATTGCATTAAGTTTGCCTTTAGGACAATGCAGAATAATACTATTTCTTTTAAAATCTGCTAGCCCTTCAGCTGCTTGAATCCTGTCTGCCTTTCTCCTGATTTTAGTTTCTGTTCTTATAACACATGATTAGTGGAAGAGTATAGGCACTAGTTCATTCTGCTGCTTTGTAGTTTTGTGACTTTAATTGTTATGCTTCTGTGTGTGTGGAGGGAGATCAAAAACCTTCAAGTTGTAACAACCACATGAGATACATATAAAGCAACTAAAGTAGTTCTTGCAATATATTCTGTAATAAATGTTCCTTCTTTTCACCCCCTCCTGTGTGATGGCATCTGGGTTGAAAGTTATCTGAATAGAAGATAACTCTGTGGTTCATTAAACCATTTTGAAGACTTTGGTTTTTAAGCCTAACTCATGTTCTTTTAAAACTCTGGGTTATTTTTTCTATTACACAGATTTTCATGGTATATTTTCAAACATCTCTCTTTTCTGTTACTGGAAGGAATAATATTTTTAATTACTTAGGCATTTCCCATTTCTCTTACCTGCAGAACTCCGGAAATTGGCCTCAGTCCTTGTCAGTGACTGGATGGCTGTCATCCGCTCCCAGAGTAGTACTCAGCCTGCTGGTAAGCTCCTTAGTCCTTCATCCCTTATATTTACTTCTTTCCCAGTGGGATAGGGCCTTCAGTGTCCTCTGCCTGCTTCACCTCTGACTGACAGTGTTTTTCTTTATCTAAATAAAATCCTTTCCTGTTTTGTTTTTCCACAACAGAGAAAGATAAGAAAAAACGTAAAGAAGAGGGAAAGAGTCGAACCACCCCTCCTGAGCGACCCTTGACTGAGGTGAAGGCTGAAACCCGGGCAGAGGAGGCCCCAGAAAAGAAGAAGGAGAAGCCCAAGTCTCTTCGAACCACAGCACCCAGTCATGCCAAGTTCCGTTCCACTGGTAAGGCTGTTGGCTGGCCCCAGGGGTCTGTGGGCAGATGCCGGCCCAGGGCCTTGCATGGAGTAGTGGATTTATGACATGGTTAACCCATGGAAGAGGCGAGACTAGTGGGTGAAGCTTTGCGGGGCTCTGTAAGGCTGGATGAAAATTTAACTGTGGGAACAGGGAGGAAGAGTTAGGAGAGTCGGGAGTGAGTTCAACTTTAAAACCATGTGTCTGCTGCCAGGGCTAGAGCTGGAGACCCCATCCTTGGTACCTGTGAAGAAGAACGCCAGTGCAGTGGTAGTTTCTGACAAGTACAACCTTAAACCCATCCCCCTCAAGCGTCAGAGGTACGGACTGTGTTCTGGGTTTGTAGGCTGGGTCTGCGGACAAGAGGGAAAGATGGGGTGAGTCAAACTGTCATTGACAGCTCCTTTTCTAACAGCCCTGCAGCTACTCCAGGAGATGCCACCCCCCCTGCAGAGAAAAAATACAAGCCACTCAACACAACACCCAATGCCACCAAAGAGATCAAAGTGAAGATCATCCCACCACAGCGTGAGTCTGAGTTTGGGGAATGTGCTTTGAGTTGGGAGCATACTCTTCATGGGAATGAGTGGCCTGGAGGGTGGGTAATCCTTGGTGTCCTGAAACTCCGCACCTCTGGAACGCCCCTTTCATCTTCACAGGCTGCGTAACAGTGATTTTAGAGATGAGTTGGTGTGGGGGAGAGGGGGGTGCCATTTAGTGATTGATAGAGGTGCTCCCAGCTGGCAGGATAGCATGTCACAGGCTGGCTTCCTCAGTTTCCTTAAGCCCTGATTCAGATCCAAAGCCACATGTTGCCTGCCTTTAAAAGAGAGAGTGATGAAAAGAATTTCTTAGGTGGATCCTATTGTATACACTCCCTGTTCACCTTGAGCTCACTGTGTCCTAGGTTGAGGCTGGATTTCCATTGGCCCATTTTCTGCCCAGACTATAAGATTAGGATTATGAAGGGGATCTGATGATTCCACTTTATGCTTTTTCCTTCTGTAGCTATGGAGGGCCTGGGCTTTCTGGATGCGCTCAATTCAGCCCCTGTTCCAGGCATCAAAATTAAAAAGAAGAAGAAAGTGCTGTCACCTACAGCTGGCAAGGTATTGGTCCTGGGTGGTAGGTGTTTCAGTGACAGGGTGTGAAAGGTGATGTCAGAGGAAGGGGCCCAGCAGCCAGGAGCAGGTGAGTCAGCAAGAGGAGTTTTGTCTCGGATATGGACTTGTGGCGGTGGGACAGTGTTAGAGGCAGAGTCTTTGTTAAGATCCCACCTGAGATCCTGGACTCATTGCCTTGACCTTGGCTTTTTTGTCAGCTCATTAACTACTTCTTCTTTCACAATAGCCAAGCCCCTTTGAAGGGAAAACGAACACAGAACCAAGCACAGCCAAACCTTCTTCCCCAGAACCAGCACCTCCCTCTGATGCTGTGGACACAGACCGTCCAGGGACCCCAGTTCCCCCTGTTGAAGTTCCAGAGCTCATGGATGCAGGTAAGTCTAAACATTGGTTCTGGTGTTGGGGTTTTCTGAAAAGATGGGCCTGCGTCTGAAACTTCTCTGCTTATAGCCTCTTTGGAGCCAGGAGCTCTGGATGCAAAGCCAGTGGAGAGTCCCGGAGATCCTAGCCAATTGACCCGGAAAGGCAAGAAGAGGAAAACTGTGACGTGGCCTGAGGAGGGCAAACTGAGAGAATATTTCTATTTTGAACTGGATGAAACTGAACGAGGTTAGAAGTTACATTTCCTATATAGCAGGTTGGTAAAAAGAGCTTAAAAAGGACTTGGTTGTGCTTAGTTTCTCTCTTGGTCTTTTTCTCTTCAATAGTAAATGTGAATAAGATCAAGGACTTTGGTGAGGCAGCTAAGAGAGAGATATTGTCAGACCGACATGCATTTGAGACGGCCCGGCGTCTGAGCCATGACAACATGGAGGAGAAGGTGCCCTGGGTCTGCCCCCGGCCCCTGGTTCTGCCCTCACCTCTTGTCACACCTGGAAGCAACAGCCAGGAGCGATATATCCAGGCGGAGCGGGAGAAAGGGATTCTTCAGGAGCTCTTCCTGAACAAGGAAAGGTGAGCAGTTCATCCCCAGGGTGTTGAGCCCTTGGACTCCTGAGAACATGCCATAGGTGGTTAAGAAAGGGATGGAGGTTAAGAGAAATTTGAAGTCCTGAATATAATATATATATAAGTAAGTTGATTTACATATAAATAAGTTGACTCTTCTTTTTTCTGTTGCCTGTGGCATTCCTGATAGTCCTCATGAGCCTGATCCTGAACCCTATGAACCTATCCCTCCAAAACTCATCCCCCTAGATGAGGTGAGTGAGCTTCCTGGTGACAGGGGCTGTGGTTGACCGTAATGTATCTTTGGTGTGAGGATGTCTCTGTCCTTTCAGTTAGCCCTCACTGTCCTCCCATTCTTCTTCCAGGAGTGTTCCATGGATGAGACTCCGTATGTTGAGAGCCTGGATCCTGGGGGGGCTGGTGGCTCACCTGATGGGGCAGGCGGCTCCAAGTTGCCTCCTGTTCTAGCCAACCTCATGGGAAGCATGAGTGCTGGGAAGAGCCCCCAGGGTCCTGGAGGAGGAGGCATCAACGTCCAGGAGATCCTCACCTCCATCATGGTATGGGCCATCCGTCCTCTTTGGCACCTCCTCTGGAACCTCCCTTTCTCTTTACCCCAGTCCTCCTCACCTTCCCACATACCTCCTCTTGGGCTCTTCCTTTCCCTGCCAGTTTGCTGACCTCACTCTCTTGACCTTGCCTCATAGGGTAGTCCAAACAGTCATCCCTCAGAGGAACTGCTAAAGCAGCCAGACTATTCAGACAAGATCAAGCAGATGCTGGGTAATTACCAGGGCCAGCACCGGGCCCTTGGGGAGGAAGCCTGCAGTGGAGGCATGGAAAGCAGGGGTGTCACCACCAGGTGGCAAGACATGGGAGGGGGAGACTGGACAGAGAGCCCTGCTTTGCCAACTTGTTCTGAGAGGGTCAGTGAGGCACAGCTGGTGGGAAGTCATGCCACCCTTCTAGAATCCTTTTGCTGATGTTTCTCTCCTTTTTTCATTAACAGTGCCTCATGGACTCTTAGGCCCTGGGCCAATAGCCAATGGTTTCCCACCAGGAGGCCCTGGGGGCCCTAAGGGCATGCAGCACTTTCCCCCTGGACCTGGGGGACCTATGCCAGGTAGGTATTGAGTGAGATGTTGGAATGGTCTACCTGCTTGATTTTGGCCTGGTAATAGTATGTTGACCAAAAGGTGGGAGGTAGTTTAAGTTGGGTGAGGCAGTCCCTGAGTATAACAGGTAGCTGATATTGTCTCTCCCTTTTTTTCCCTGACAGGCCCCCATGGAGGAGGCCCTGGGGGCCCTGGTGGGCCAGTGGGTCCACGTCTTCTGGGTCCTCCACCGCCTCCCCGGGGAGGCGATCCCTTCTGGGATGGCCCGGGTGACCCCATGCGGGGGGGCCCAATGCGGGGAGGTCCAGGACCTGGTCCTGGACCATACCACAGAGGCCGTGGTGGCCGAGGAGGAAATGAACCTCCTCCTCCTCCTCCATTCCGAGGGGCCAGAGGAGGTCGCTCTGGAGGAGGACCCCCAAATGGACGAGGGGGCCCTGGTGGAGGCATGGTTGGAGGTGGGGGACATCGTCCCCATGAAGGCCCTGGCAATGGCATGGGCAGTGGCAGTGGACACCGCCCCCACGAAGGCCCTGGCAATGGCATGGGTGGTGGCCATCGCCCCCACGAAGGCCCTGGCGGGAGCATGGGTGGAAGTGGGGGACACCGTCCCCATGAAGGCCCTGGCAGTGGCATGGGCAGTGGCAGTGGACACCGCCCCCACGAAGGCCCTGGTGGGAGCATGGGTGGAAGTGGTGGACACCGCCCTCACGAAGGTCCTGGACATGGGGGGCCCCATGGCCACCGGCCTCATGATGTCCCTGGTCACCGAGGCCATGACCATCGAGGGCTACCCCCTCATGAGCACCGTGGCCATGATGGCCCTGGCCATGGAGGAGGGGGCCACCGAGGGCACGATGGAGGCCACAGCCATGGAGGAGGTGAGGATGCTCCCTGTCCCCCAGATGGCTTTTGGTGTCCCATACAAGTTTCTGGGAAGTGTCACCACCCTGAGTATGCCAGGCCAAACATGAGGTTGCCCCATTCCCAGCATGTATGGCAGTTCCTACCGTTTGCCCTAACCCTAAACCCCAAGACCCCATATCTCTCTAAAAGGCAGTTCTCAGGATGCCATGGACTGTGGTGGGTGAGGGTGGCGCTGACCACTTAGCCATTTCCTATTTAACCATTCCACCATCGTTCCCACAGACATGTCAAACCGCCCCGTTTGCCGGCATTTCATGATGAAGGGCAACTGCCGCTATGAGAACAACTGTGCCTTCTACCACCCGGGTGTCAATGGGCCCCCCCTGCCCTAGGGTCCACCTGCCTCCCTGCCCACACGTACCCCTGTGGACTGCAGCCTTGCTCCTTGCACCTGTTAATGGCTTCTGTGAGGCCCACTTTCCCCAGCTGATGAGGAGCCGGCCCCCTCCCAGTTCCCACCTGCTTGGTTCCTGGGTGTTTTCTGATCACTGGTGCACGTTGATGTACGTATTTCCTCCAGTCTGGGGAGGAGAGAGACTGGACATACTCTGTATCCTGGACTGCTGAAGAGGAGACCCAGTTGGCTTCACTTTTTGAGGAGATTTACCCTGTAACCCCAAACCTCTTCTGCCTGAGAACCTAAATCTGGTTATCCTGGAGAACACCTCTGCTTTCCATTGGGGGTCCTCCACATGCACACAGAACTGACATGGGATCACCTGCACTTATGAAATAATCCTAGCCAAGCTCCTTAATACCCAGGAGGTGGGGAGATGGTAAAAGGGATATTGTATATCCCACTGCACTGAGAGGGCTCAATCAGGCTGGATTTGAGTTCTGGAACACATCATCCCCACTTCTCCCCCAGCACAGTCTTTACATTCTGAATCCTCTCTCAAGTAAGACTTCGCAACTTTCTGTGAAGACCCGTGTCTGCATCATGGGTCTGCTAGGTTCGATGATGGCAAATTAATGTTTGTGTCCAGTGAAAGTTTTAGCTGGAATAGGTGAGGTGGGTGGTGTTGATCCACCCTTGCCTACAGCTCATTCTGGAAACTTCATAAAAGACTTAAGTGAGACCAGCTTTCCATCAACTTCAGCCTGGCACGCCGGGCCTAACAGTCACACTACATGCACTGCCTTTGGGAGTTAGCGCGCTCCTTACCGCCACCTGGAACCTTGTGGGTGTGAGGCCTCCACCTCCCTTGTCCTGTCGTCCACCTCAGGATCCCCACCAGGTGCTTTCCTGGGTGGGGTCAACAAGATGTCTTGCCCTTTCCCAGCCCCTTCCTTCACTGTCTTGGCATCAGTTGTTTTCTATGAAAACAGTGGATTGGTTGGGTTTTGTGCAGGGTCTTGGGTTAGAACCACAATGGATTTGAGGATGAGTATTTTCTTTTTCTTTCGGTTTTGTATATTTTGTACATTAATAATAAACAGTGGAAAGAGAAGCTTATTGAACCCCTGTATTTGGACTCCTTTGTTTAATAATAAAACAGGCATTACCAACTGCTATTTTAAGTGCTGTAATGCAAACTTATGGAGTTGGGTTTTTAGTTCTTCGAGTGGAGCTGGCACTTGTTCTACCTTCAAGTCAGTGTTGGTGTTAAGTCAAACACTGGTGAAGGGACGCTTTGGATCTAAGACACCATAGGCACGGTAAATCCCATAGATGAACATACATTGATCAAGCAGTGGCGCCTTGGGGAAGGAGGGGCTCTTCAGGTTGATAGAGCTGCATGAGGTGTGCACATCACTTCCGGTTGGACTTACCACCTCACGTGTGTAGGGCAGTAATTTGAGGGTAGGTAGAAAAGGGGAGGGAAGAGCTGCTAATGAAAAATCCAGGAGCAGTTTTTGGGCAAGAAAGGGAAAAAAAGTGGCTCCTTTTAAGAGCTGTTCAGTGGATAAAGTGAGCAGCAAGAAAAGGGGAACTATATAGACTGACCTCCCCAAGTGTAGCCTTGCAGGGGAAAACCAAGCCTGCAGCTACAGGTGTCAGTTCTTAGGGAGAAGTATTAAATTGGGGGCCTGGCTGATGGAGTAAGATTCTGCAGTAGACAGGTTTTGGAGACCACAACACGGAGAGGGTAGGAATAATAGGAAGTTCTGCTATTCTCAGAGGAGAGGGAAGATGGGGTTATTGGGGAGTGGGTTGTTGAACAGTGATTTTCAACCTTTCAGCACTCGTCGGGGTCACCTGAAGGGCTTGCTAAAAGACTTGCGGGGTGAGGCCCAGCACATTTTCTGATTCAGCATGTCTGGGATTGATCCTGAGATTCGCAGCTCTAAATTCCCAAGCGCTTGCTGATCGGGAAACCCTGAGAAGTCTCTGCCTTAGAACACGTTTCTTGGCTGTTGTTCCCGGCATTGGCCACATGAGGGCAACAACTTCCTACATTTCACAGGCCTCATTTAGGATTACAACGGGACTAATCTACCTTCCCTCTGCTTTGTCTTCCGAGGCAGGAGTTCAGTCAGTTGGCCTATTGTTGCTCTGTGCACTTGGGAGAGACTCTGAGAGGAGCAGGTAATCTAAGGACCAAGCTAAGAGGAGAAATGCAAGTCAAGTACACAGATCAAAAGAAAAAAAATGGACAGGTCAAGACTTACCAGGTCATTCTTCAACTTCTGTGTTTCTTTTCTTCTGATTCTATCTACCACCTGCTTCATCACCAGCCACAGGCCACAAGAACCTTTAAACAGTTAAAAATTTTGTTCTATTTTAATATAAAGATGAGTTCAGTCATTTGCCAAATTCTCTATGAAAATCCTGTTACCTAAGATATTTATTTTGGCAGGAAGGCTGAGCATCCTCCATTTCACCACACCTGCTGACCCATTTCTGTTTTTTCAAGCCCTGCAGGTATCCCACCATAGCTCCTCCTGTTTCAGTTGGTCTGTTCTTATGTTTTGCTTCCATTTTCTCCCCCCAAATGCCCTTTCAGCTTCATTCTCTGTTAACGCTTCCCCAGATGCACCAGTTAGATCTCCAATTCTGAATCATTATTGTATTTCTCATTCCGGATCCCATGGAGTAAACCTAATGTTGAAAAATTAAAAAGTCCTACTATCTTCGCCCAGTACAAATAGTTAGCACCAACTTAACTTTTCCTGCAGCTTGGCAAACGTCCTAGTTCTTGATTTTCTGGCAACAAAACTCCTTAGAGTGAGCTCCATCCAATATGAACACACCTCCCCTTCCCTGCACTGGAAAATATCAGATTATCTTCTTTCCTTAGGGGGAAAAGGGTATCTCCTTTCCAAGGCAATATCTATATCTAATTCTTCTCCTGGTCTCTTCCCTGTCTCCCTCTACCTACTATTTTCTATTCAGCAGCCAGAGCAATTTTGTAAAAATGAAAACCAGATGAATTCACCCTCCTGTGTAAACAGCACCAGTGGCCTCCCATTGCACCTAGAACCACATCTCAACTTCCTGTCAAGGCTACATTGTAAAGCCCTGTGTGTCTGGCCCTTGCTGTAAGCTCAAACCATTATCAAGCTCATCCCAGTTCCTGGGCCTCTGCACACTCCGGGCCCTTCCCCACGACTCTTTTCCACTCCCCTGGTTGGTTCCTTTGACCCTCCAGGTTTTGGCTTTAATGTTACTTCCTCCAAGTAGCCTTGCTGTTCACTCAGTCTGAACATGACCTCCCCGGCTTCCTGTCCTAGCACATTTCCCTTGACGTGCTCCAAAGGCACCACCAAACTCCTCCCTGAGCTGCTGAGACTCAGGAGCTGCTGCTGGTCTGGACTCTGACCCACTGTTCAAGAACAGCTAGTTCAAGTTGCTTGGTTCTTGCACTCATCACTGGCCATACAAGGGCAGCTTTTACATTCCCAAGCCTCCTCTGAATTTTGTGTGCCCACAGGCTGTCCTTTTCCACTGAAGTACTGGCTTCCCTAACCCAGCTCTCTGTGTTCCTAAAACTCAGTCCTGAGGATTAAAGATGGCAGTGTGAGAGGTGAGACAGAGGCCTCCTCCCAAAACCACATATAATACGAAAATATAATTAATACAACTAATCCTGAAAGAGCAACAGGAAAGAAGACTGCGCCAGATTACATACACCTGGAGAAAAGAACAGGCCTCACAGAACAGGGTAACGTACCAAAGCCGTGATCTGGTGGGCCCCAAGCCCTTCCCCCAAGGCAGCTCACCGATGGAAGAGAAACAGAGTGGGGAGCAGGGACTGCTGAACACCTAGCCCTGGAGATATGCTTTGTGAGCAGAAACCTATATTGTATGGTGCTCTGGACTATGGGGAGCTCCGGCAGGGGGAGTGCTTGAAAGACTAGGATTCCGGCTGTTTGTGGAGGAGGGGATCCACACCCAGTCGCTCCGTGTTAGAGGAATGGCAGGCAGTCTGTGAGGCTTCCTAGTAGCTACAGGGCTGCTGAAGGGGCGGGGTTTGCATGGAGCTTGCTGCGCGGGGGAGGGGAGAGCTAGACAAGGTTATCTGGGTGCTCTCTGCCCAGCTTGTTGGGAACTTAGAGGAGCTTCGGGTGCTCCATCCCCCTGGGTGGCTGCTCAGCTCCAAAGCCCCCCACTGAGACATGCAGCCTGCTGCACCTTGTTCTGAGCCTGCCAGCACTGGTTCACAAACCGGCAGTTACTGTGTTGGCGTCAGGCCAGCCAGGGGGAGGCCCCGCCTACAACAGCTAGAGAGGAGGTGCACAGAGGCTCACACCTGTGTGCTCGGCCCACTGGCTCTAACACTGGAAACAGGCACCGCAGATGGGAATCAGAAAACAGATCTTTCTTCCCCTGAGGCACCAGCTCCGCTCCCACCCAGTTTCACTCTAGGGGCTGAGCAGCTCCAGAGACTGGAGCTTCTGGACACTAGTGTGCACCACACAGAAATATGAAATGTCAAAAGAACATGGTTCAGACCGAAATCTCACAAACCCCAGAAAAAGGGCCAAATGAAAGTGAACTCACCACTCTTCCTGAAAGAGACTTCAAGACAAAAATTATAAACATGCATATGGAGGCACAGCAAAATATTCAAGAACTCAGAAATGAATTTAAGTCAGAGATTCAATTATTAAGAAATTCCGTATCTGAAATGAAACGTACAATGGAGGGATTTAAAAGCAGATTAGAATGTAGTAGAAGAGATGGTAAATGGAATAGAAATTAGAGAAGAGGAATACAAAGAAGCTGAGACACAGAGAGCAACAAGGATCTCCAAGAATGAAAGAATATTGAGAGAACTGTGTGACCAATCTAAAAGGAACAATATTCACATTATAGGGGTTCCAGAAGAAGAAGAGAGAGAAAAAGTGTTAGAAAGTGTCATTGAGGAGGTAATCACTGAAAACTTCCCCAATCTGAGAAAGGATATAGTTTCTCAGGCCATGGAGGTACACAGACCCCAACATAAGTGACCCAAGGAAGACAACATTAAGACATATAATAATTGAAATGGCAAAGATCAAGGATAAAGACAGATTTTTAAAAGCAGCTAGAGAGAGAAAAAAGATCACATAGAAAGGAAAACCCATCAGGCTATCATCAGACTTCACAGCAGAAACCTTACAGGCCAGAAGGGACTGGCATGATATATATATTTTGTCATTAATCTACAATTACATGAAGAACATTATGTTTACTTGGATCCCCCCTTCACCTAGTCCCCCCCACAAACCCCATTACAGTACTGTCCATCAGCATAGTAAGATGCTGTAGAATCACTACTTGTCTTCTCTGTGTTGCACAGCCTCTCCCCCACATTATACATGCTAATCATAATATCCCCTTTCTTTTTCCCCACGCTTATCCCTCCCTTCCCTCCCATTCTCCCCAGTCCCTTTCCCTTTGGTAACTGTTAGTTCATTCTTAGGTTCTGTGATTCTGCTACTGTTTTGTTCCTTCAGTCTTTCTTTGTTCCTATGCTCCACATATGAGTGAAATCATTTGGTGTTTGTCTTTCTCTGCCTGGCTTATTTATACCCTCTAGCACCATCCATGTTGTTGCAGATGGTCGGATTTGTTTTCTTCTTATGGCTGAATAATATTCCATTGTGTATATGTACCACATCTTCTTTATCCATTCATCTACTGATGGACACTTAGGTTGCTTCCATTTCTTGGCTATTGTAAATAGTGGCTATTGGATATAGAGTTCTACAGATGTCTATTAGGTCCATCTGTTCTAGTGTGTTGTTCAGTGCCTCTTTGTCCTTACTTATTTTCTGTCCGGTGGATCTATCCTTTGGAGTGAGTGGTGTGTTGAAGTCTCCCAAAATGAATGCATTGCATTCTCTTTCTTCCTTAAGTTCTGTTAGTATTTGTTTCACATATGTTGGTGCTCCTGTGTTGGGTGCATATATATTTATAATTTTTTATATCCTCTTGTTGGACTGAGCCCTTTATCATTATGTAATGTCCTTCTTTATCTTTTGTTACTTTCTTTGTTTTGAGGTCTATTTTGTCTGATACTACTGCAACACCT